CTCTTTCGGGTGGAAGTCGCATTTGGTGCTGCTGCAGTTCCTTTCTGACTTCTCCATGGCAACGTTCACACGGATTTCATGGAACATAAGGTGTTTGAGCTAGAAGGCACCTTGGAGACCAGCTCCTCCCGCCCCCTCATTTCACAGAGAGGAGAGCAGGTCCAGAGAAGGGATGCCACATGCCCAGGGTCACGCAGCAAGCCAGGGACCCAGCCAGGGCTTCTGCCTTCTGGCACCATTCCCAGATGGGGTCCTTTTCCCTGAAATTGCATAGGACTGACTTCTTGGGAGGTGCTCTGGGGACACAAGGGCTGGCAGCTTTGCCACTCCCCCGCTGCTAAAGGACCCCTGAAGTCCAGCCTGGCTCTGTCCTGCTCAGGCATGGAGCTCTGCATTCAGTGCTTGTTGGGGACAGGAGCAGACAGGATGGGCGCTGTCCTCAGGCAGCTCACAGGCTGGTGCAGAGGAAGCACAGCCCCCTCGGGAACCACTGGAGAGCAAATGTGAGCTTCCACATGAGTGTCCATGGAGCAGGAAGTAGGGGTGGGAGGAGCCAGGGAAGGCTGCCTGGAGGAGAGGGCTCCAAGCAGAGCCTGGAAGGTAGAGGAGGACTCTCATTCCTGCCTGAGCCTGCCTGGCTTGAGAGCCACGCCCTGTGGGTGAGTGGAATGTGGGAGCAAAGTTGGAGGGCTGCCCCAGGCCACAGGTCTCAAGGAGATGTCATGTCTGGGGACTGAGGGCACATGTCACTCCAGGACAAGGGGATCAGACACCCAGAAGTGCAAGGCAGAGGGCAGAGGGCAAGAAGCTGGATGCCCTGGGCATGAGGGGCCAGGAATCTGGGCCGTCAGAGGGTGCTGGGGGTGAGGGTCCAGGAGGGAGGCCTCAAGGAGGCTGGAGCAGACCTGGGGTTGCTCTGTCCCTTTGCTGGGCATGGACACATGTGGCCCCTCCCCTGCCCAGCAGAGCCAGCCTGATGGCAGAAAGGTTGAGGGCTATAGGCACCCCTCCCCAGGGGACACGGTCCTCAGTCTTCACCTCGAGCTCAGCCCCAGGGCTCAGCCAAACTCTAAACCCTGCCTCAGGGACTTGCCCTGGCCTACAGGGGGTCTTCTCCTCTCTAGGCCTGAAGGTCCCAAGAATCTGGGCATCCCCAGGTCCAGCCAAGGCAACTCTCCTGACCATTCCCACCAAACTGCCCCTGTCCTTCCCCTTGCTGGCAGCCTGTTCCAGTTATCTATTGCCGCATAACAAACATCCCCAAATGCTCGTGAATCTGCAATCTGGCCAGGGTTCAGTGGGGACCCTGGGGACGGCTTACCTCTGCTCTGCATGGAATCTTCCAGGACACCTTCTTTACTCACATGGCAGCAAGTGGGCTCCTCTCCACCCAGGCTTCTCCATAGGCTGCCCGGGCTTTCTCACAGTGTGGCAGCTGGGTTCCAAGAATGAGTGTTCCAGGAGACAGGAAGGGGGGAGCTGGCAGTCTGTAAGGTCTGGGTCCAGAAACAGACACAGGGTCACTTCTGCTGTATCTATCTGTCAGACCGATCACAGCTCCTGCCCAAACCCCAGGGTGGGAGACATAGACCCTCTGCCCTCACTGGGAGGAGTAGCCAAGAATTTGCCATCTTTAATCCACCTCACCCGCCACTCCCCATCTCTGCCCCATGGGCTCTGACTCTTCCTTGCCTCACCTCCAGGTCTGTGGATTCTGTCCCTCCTGGAGGTCCCCTCTGTCCCTAATACCTTCCCCTGGGTTACTGCAATAACTGTCTATCCCCTCCTCGCCACTCCCTGTATTCCTGTAGCAGTATCCTCTCTCTGTGGCTCTGCTCAGAAACCAGGCATGGTCCCTACTTCTCATTGAACAATTTCCAAGTTCCTAGCAAAATATTCAAATTCGCCTTACGAGCTTGCCCTCTCCCACGTTACCAACTGGATTACCTCCCATTTCCCCTCAAGCAACTGGACCACACTTTGGCCTCTTCTGCTCAAAGTGCCCAACTACTGGCACTCTGAGCCCGCACATATTCACTCCCTCCACCTGGCAAGTTTCTCTGTCTCCTCTCCTGTTGGATTCCTGCTCAACCTCCAAAGCCCAGTGCAAATGCCCCTCCTCCACAAAGTCTTGCTCTCACTACTTGATCAGACTAGTCTTGCTCTCAGTGCATGTTGAAGCACATTCTGCCTTAAATCCTTGTTAGCATTGGCGTGCCCTCCTGAAGTGGGGCCCGTGTTTCTAACGCATATTTATTTAACCAATTTAATAACTGTTTATTGATGCCTGGAGCCAGCTGCCAGGGAAATTGCAGTGACCATGACAAGCTGCTTCCTGTGCCCAGAGAGCTTACATTCCAGAGAGTGAGACAGATGGCAAACAGAGGAACCAAGGGACATGATGATCAAAGATGAGGAGGTCTGCTGGAAGCCAGAGAAGCAAGAGGATGCGGTGATGCAGGGGCCCAGAACTCCCTCTTCTCAAGAGAAACCAGAGGCCTGGATTTTCACATACACTCTCCTAATTTTAAAGGTTGCAAAGTGAAGCCTTTCTCTTCTGCGGCTCGCAGCTTCCCTGCCCTCCTGGCTTCCCCCTCTCTCTGGCATGCCTGCCCCATTCTCTCTTCCTGGTCACCCCATCAGCACTACCCCCACCCAGCTCAGGCTGCCCTACCTGTAGCCCCACCTCTAGGGAACCCAAACTCCTCTGGGGCTCCCACGCCCTGGGCATGCTCTGGGCAGCAGCTGGCAGGAGGAGGTAGGGAGCCCACTGCCTAGGACCCTGGGGCCAGTGGGCAGCTGGCTAGCTGAGACCCTGGGCCAGCCACTCTGAAGTGGGCCTCATAGGAGTGGCACACCTGGAGTCTCCAGGGCCACAGCAGTTGGCCAACACCCCCACCCCAGGTCCCACTACCCATACTTCTGGATGTTGGCTTGGAAGAAGTGGCGGCCAGAGGAGCAAGAGAGGAAGGGAGGCCAGGGGGCCCTCAGAGGGTTCCGCAGGTTTGTCCCCCAGCTCTGACAGGGCCCTGAGGGAGGGGTCTCCAGGGAACCCTTGGGCCAAAAATGGGACAGTTTGTGCTCTCCGGAGCCAGAGTTCCCAGGTACACATCTTAGCTCTGCCACTTCCTAGCCTGGTGACCTTCGACAGCTTCCTTCCCCTCTCTGGGCCTCAGTTTCCCCGTCTGAACATTAGGATCACAGCAGCACGGACCTCACATGACATGCGCCTGGCACATAACAGCACTAAGTGAAGGGAAGCTTTCCACGGCCTCTCTCGTGCAGGACCATGCCAGGCCCTCTGGAGGAATCGCTCTGCTGGGCAGCATCCTCCATCTGTGTTTTCCCGGACCTCTGAGGCTGAGAGGCAGCTTCTGCTCATTATAATTATTTGGGCTCTGGGCACTGCCAGCCGAGAGGGCTCAGGCCTCTGAAGGGCCCAAGGTCCCGGTGACAGCTGTCACGTCTCAGGGGACAGTCAGGCCATCCCTCCAGTTCCCAGAGGAGTACGGAGCAAAGACTGATCCCAGAGGTGCTGCCCTTCTGTCTGCACCCACTGCCCCCAAGCCCTGGGCGAGGGACATCTTGGCTCATCACTCCCAGGATTCCATGACCACCTCAGCCTCATCCTCAAAACCCAGAGCATCTTGGGTGGGGGTCCTGGGACAGAGCCCCAGGCAGCCCAGGTGGGGAGGAGGTGTCAGGCCCTGGATAGGGGTCTGCCAGGAATCAATGGGGTTTAGACAACCAGCACTTGGCCCTCTTGGGGCCAGAACCTGGCACTGGAAGCCCAAAAGGCCAGCCACAGCCTGGGAAAGGGGCCTCCCACCTCCTTCACCTCCCAGACCCCTGAGGGCACAGCCCCAGGGGAGCAGACCCTCAGAGGGCCTGCAGCTGGCTATGACACCTACTTCCCGTTGCCCACAGATCCGGAGGCTTCAGCCCAGCACGCAGAAGCTGCAGGGGAGAGCGCCTTGGCGGTTCAGCCCTGCCACTCAGCTGTGCCCGCTATGTCCTGCCTCTGATAACCAGCTGTCAGCTGAGCCCCGAGCACTTGGTGCACCCAGGTTTGTTTGCCAAGCAGACGGTTGGAGCTTCCTGGGCCCGCGTGCCCTTAAGGGGAGGAGGGGCCCGCAGCAGGCCAGGTGCTATCTCTGGCTGAGAAGGGACAGACTCCCAGGGTGTCCACCTATGCAGGCCCACCGCCCCCCCCAGCACCCCCACCTCAGAGCACTCCCCTCGTCTTAGGCCCGGAAAAAGTCCGGGGGCGGGGGAGTGGTGACTGGGCAAGGGGCAGCTGGGGGCGGAGGGGCGCACAGCGCGCAGAGGAGCAACAGGATCCCGGGTGCTCCCTCACTCAGGCCCAGCGCCCCACACCCCCGCGCAAGCCCGGAGGCGGCCCCGGAGGGGGGTCACTGTACCGGGGCGGGGGCGGGAGCGGGAGCGGCCCCCACCAGGCAGAGGTGCACCGACCGCGCGCGCTCGGGGCAGTGCCCGGGCCTCCTGACCCCGCCCCCGGGGTGGGCAGCTCATTTGCATGGTCCCGCCCCAGCGCAGCCATTGGCGGCGGCGGCGGGAGGCCGGCCCTGAGTGGCTGCCGGGCCGTGGGGCGGCGGAGCCGGGG